CTTCTAAAGAAAGCTGCCTTCTGGTCCCTGCCTGGAAACCAGCACCATGTGTGGGCTGTTGGTGGAGTGGGGACAGCCAGACCCAAGCCTCTCTCCATGAGCCAGCATCATTCACAGACTGTAGGGGCAGAGAACCAGTTAATCCCCACCTGGAAACCTATCATTTTCATTATTTTCTTGAGTTAGCTTTTATTGTCTTTTGTTTTGTTTGTTTATGTTAAATCTGATGGCATGAGCAGCTATTTAAAAGATAAGACATTATGGTAGCCACTTTGGATTTACTGTTAGCTTATTTTGAAGCTCTTTATTGCATTCATTGTTTTGTTTTTATTGTTTCTGCTCTATTCTGTTCTGCTCAATTTTTACTGTGTCCAAAGGCAAGTGCAAGCTATTTGGATGACAACAATAGGCATCATGGTAACTACTGCTGATTTCCTAAGGTTTAAGTCCTATCTCAGTAATACTAGTTTATCTTGACTGGTTTTATTGTTTTATTTTCCTTGGTTTTATCCTCTTTAAAATAAAATGTTTTAAAAAATGAAGCAAAAAAAAAAAAAAAAAAAAAAAGAAAGAAAGCCACCTTCTACATTCACTAACAACAGCAATCCATAGAAGCTTATTACTAAGCTATAGGAAGGGTCCATTCTGTGTTATACAATCATATATATGCAGTCAAGTGCACTCACTTGTGAAATTTGTAAAACTTGCATCAGGAATGAATGACAATAAAATTCTTCCTTTCTAATCTGGGAATTTGTGCCTCCAGAAACTCTCTCAAAAACCAGAGTGGTCAGGAAATGACAAGAATTTTAAATAACTCATACTACACCACACACAATCTCAGGCATGCTTTTCAGATGCTAATACAGCAGCAGCATCCAAGAAGACCTTCCCAAGTAGAAGGAGATAGAAATTTCTAGAATCAAACTCCTTGTACTTGAATCCTGGCTCAGCCATTTTGTAAATGTGAGACCATGGAGAATCACCTTTATTGCTCTCTGTCTTGGTTTTCTCACATTAAACTTTAATTGCTAAGAACTATGTCTCACTTTACTGATGACTGAGGAAAAACTATTTTTTAGTACAGTGTCTGACACAACATGAGTGCTCAATACTGCCAGTGATAATAATACAAATTGTTATTACATTGGTTGGGTATTTCTCTTCAAAATACTGAAACACAAGTTTTTCAGTTTGGATTTTTTAGATTTTTCAGATTTTTGAATATTTACAAATACAGCATAAAGTAAAACGGGAACACATCCAAGTCTAAACGTATCCATTTATTTTTCATGTATATATAACCTCCAAGTCATTTTATACAATATTTTAATAATATTGTACATGAAATAGAGTTCCATGCCAATGGAATTTTCTATGCATAGTATGATGCTGACCCCTCAAACCATTTTGATTTTGGAGCACTTTGGATTTCAGATTAGAGTACTGAACCTGCATTACAATAACCCGGGATTAGCATCAGTGTTAATTTTAATTCCCTCCCTTGATCTGCACAAGGGACAAAAGGGATCGCAAGCCACATATACTCCTTAAAAACAAAAAGAAAGAAAGAAAAGAAAAAAGAAAGAAGACTGTCTTTCTCTTTGTGTGTGTGTGTGTGTGTGTGTGTGTGTGTGTCAAGGTTCAAACTCAGGACCTTGTGCTTGCTAGGCAGGTACTTATACTGCTGAGCTAAATCCCAGCCCCTGAAAGTTTGTCTTTTTTGAGACAAGATTTCACTGCACAATTCAAACTGACCTTAACTCACTCTGTACTCGGGCTGGCCTAGAACTCATAGCACTCCTCCTGCCTCAGCCTCCTGTCCCTTAAATTCTAAAAAGCAGTAGTTTCTAAACTTTTGCATGAATCTCAGTCATCTGGGGTGCTTAAAACAGACTTTGGTGCTTCAGATTCAGAGCTGCTGCTACTGAATATGTGTACAGAATGGTGGGAGGTATCTAACAAGTTCATCTCAGTGTAGGAGCTGCTGATCTGGAAAGACAGAGTGAGAAACACTTAGGGACATCCCCCTGTCAGTGAAGAACAGGCTTTAGCTCCAAATGTACAGGGCTTTCTAGGGCCTTCTGCCCACCTAGAATGTCCTTTGCAGACTGCACCTCAGAAACTTCTCCAATGACTCCAAACTGAGCTTAAGCATTAGACACTCCATGAGGCTCCCACAGCATTGCCATCCAGGCACCTAAAACCCCACACAGTGGGCAGTCAAACCAGTTCCAGGAGACCAGGAGCTCTTATGCATTTACCTCAGTCTTGAGACATGGAAAGATCTTCAGTAAACAGTAACTGATAAAGAGAAATTTGGGACAGCCAAGGGACAAAGACTTCCCCATGGAACCAACCAGTCTAGCAGGTGTCAAATAGTATCTAGTTGTTAGCTGGACAGGCGTAGAATCGTTAATCACCCAGGGATTGCTGCCACCGCAGTTGGCAATGTCTTCTCCCTCAGGAGTCCACAAGGCCTTTGCCTCCAGCCACACTTTGCCTTGTACTCTTTGGAGGTAAGGAAACTTCAGTTTTAAACTTCTAACCAGCAAGGCCCCCATGGGTACCACTGGCTGCTGGGAGTGCTGAGTATTCTCAGGAGAGGAGAAGCCAGGTTGCAAACAGGAAGCACGGCTATATAAACATTTCTGGTAAATTGCCCAATAAGACTGCCAGTTGAAAATGATAGAAATTTCCAACAAGTTATCTCTTCTTTCCTTCTAAATAAATACGTGATATTATACCCAATTTTGTATTAATATTCTTAAATAATATCACCAAATTGTTACCTTTCAAGGTTCACAAAATATACAACTGCGTCTGGTCCTTTGGATTGCCTGAAAATTTCCAAATTTATCATCTACTTACTCCCCATCAGAACACTTCAGCCAAGACAAGCACACTTTATAAACACGTCCTACAAAGATTTTGGATACTTCTAAGGAGAAATTCAAGAAGTCTTGTGATTTTATTGCCAAATGAAGATAGAGAAAAAAGTTGAAGCCAGGCATGATCCAGGCAGAATAACCTATTTGATGCTCTTCACACAGTAAAAGCCTTATCTCAACAATTAACTGACAAGATTTCAAAGTATGTTCAGTATGAGTCTTTCGATTTTCGTGTATAATTACATGACAAGGAAGATTTAGGAAGCATGTGTTCTCCATAACAGAAAATATCACTATACTCTAAATTCTAAGTAACTTTTTAAACTCCCATTTTGTACAATATAATAACTTAGACAATCACTTTTGTAATTTACAGGCACTTACAAAGTGTTATGGGTCATTTAGTCAAAAGTTCAATTAGGAATTGTGGGATGCCTTGCTAAGATTGCCCAGGATAGTAACCTATACCTCTAACGATCGGCTTAAGGAAAAATGAATCTTGTCTTTTAATATTAGACACATCCAAGCATGAGTCTAGCTTTATACACAACTTAGAAACAGTATTCATAGTTTTACTAATTGGCCCCACTTGGATCTGTTAGGCCCTTAAAAACATGTTAAGAAAGACACATAATAAATTTAACCTTTAAAATAGTTGTTCATCTGTGGTCCAGATAGGTCACAGCTGAGCCACACAAGAAAGATGAAAACAGTGCTTATTTTATTCAAGACAGACTAACCCCCAAGAGGTGAATTTCATGACAATAAATTTGAATGCTAATTTCCAGTAGGTCTGCCAGGTATCCTGTCTCCATACCAGTGTGAAATATCAAACACATTCACAATCAGTTTCTAGGTCAACCACTTACACTGCACAAATTACTGTCTTGCTCCTCGCCTCGGATTCTCATTAGTCCAGGGGAACAATTTCTACTTCGTGTTTTGTATTCCACCAGGTAAAAGTGCCTAGTAATTGATTTTTTCCCTTCTTTTTCTGCAGTCCTGGGATGGAACTCGGACCCCTTGTTTCCGTGCTAGGTAAACGCTCTACTACTGAACTTCATGGCCAGACCCACAGTTAATTTCTGATGACTTTGAGGATGATTTTGATAATTGTGACTGATCAAGTTAATGACAAACACTCTTGAAAGATTGGCCTTTCCTCTCGCATAAGTATCAGTGATTAAAGAGATGCCTGTGCTCAGGCCCATCCCCTCAGTAAGGAATGAGAACCCCTCTTTGTCTCAGCACCTGTGCTACAAAAGCCCAGAGCAGCCTGGCTTCTGCAGAAACTTGAGCTTCATAGGAACACAACATTTGTTCAATTAAATGCTGCAAATCCGACCCCTCCTGCCAAAAAAAAAAAAAAAAAAAAAAAAAAAAAAAAGTTTCTAGGAAGCATAGTCCGTAGAACTCCCTTAATAAATAGTGATGAAATTGTGTCTGCGAAACTGGTAAAGCACCTGGATTCACTGGGAAGCTGGGTGGCACCTGGGAGTCCCCGTGCCAAGGGGACTTTCCCGGGCACAAGCATGTTAGCATCCAGAGCTGCTGAAACCTTCCAGCATCCACGGAAGTTCGTGCAGACGGCGCGCGGGGTTGATGGGGGGGGGGGGGAGATCCTATGTAAATCCAATCCTTTTGAAAGTCATCAGAACAGCATAGGGCTGTGCCGGGGAGACTCATCTATAGACTTACTCTAACGCTTCCCGCCGTCCTGTAACTGAGCAAAAGCAGCCCCACGAGCCAGAGCTGAATCTCCGATCTCCAGAAGAAAGCGCATCAAAGTCCCCCCAGGCGAGGGACTGACCTCCGCCGTGGCAGAGAGGTGACTAACGCCACTGCGCCCGGGAGGTCTGAATGTGTGACCTTTAAAACGCAAAGAAATCCCGGAGCCGGCTGCCTCCCCCTCGCGCGCTCCTCAGCGCTCCACGCCCTGAATTCCTGCTTCTGGTCCTCCAGAAACCTCTCCGGCCCCAGCAGCCACGGGGCAGCGAGTCCCCCGAGTGTCCATCCCGGCTCGGCCCCTCGATCGCCAGCAGACCCCCACCCCAAGAGCGCAGGAGCCCGGCCCGCGCGCGCCCAGGTGCACGGACGCTCGCCCCTCACCTGCGCGGGACCCGCCGCCGCGGCCGCCGTGGCTGTCGTCGCTGACCCCGAGCGCTGGCGCGGCGGGGCTGGGGCATCACCGGGGCGGCCGGACTTCCTCGCGGCCGCGGAGCCCCGCCTTCAGGGGGTGGAGGCGGCGCGTCACCTTCCAGCCGCCTCGCGGCGCGCGGGCGCAGCTCGGCCAGGTGTCAGCAGAAGGTGTCAGCGCCGACTGGGTGCAGAGCGGGGAACTGAATCACTCTCCTGCCCTGGCCCACAGGAAGAGGAAGGTGTGTCCCAAAAGTCCCAAGTGAGGAAAGAGGACGAGCGTGGTTAATAACCCTTCCCTCACTGATGGCCAGAGGAGTTCACGCTGCTCCAGTGGCCCCCTAAAAAAGATCAGGAGGCACAGCGCGGGCTCTTTCTACCGCCGCAACCCTGGGAAGAGGTCCTCAAGCCAGGCAGCCTGTCCCACACGTGCCACGTGTGCGCGATTGCTCGTGAGAGCCAGCTGCCCAGTAAGCAGAGATTCGCCCTCTGGGTCGGGTTCCCTGTCTGTAAGCGCGAGCAGGTGGGCAGGCCCTGCAGCTGCCCTGAGCACTCGGTTAATCCCCTAGAGGTTTTCCTGCAGTCATCGTCACTAAGCTGCTTAAAGAATTTGCCTTTTGCTCCCTTCTCCAGCATTTTTTTCCCCTCTTTTTCTTCCCCTTGTGATCTTACTTCAATGTGTGTTGTTTTAGTGGTCGGTTGGTTTCTTTTTCCACCTTTGGCGAGGCTGGGTCTCATGGGCATTAAGAACTGTGCTAAAGCAGAGCAGAGCGCTGGGGGGCTTAGGAGGACACACGCAGGACAGATCCCTGCGCGGGGGAGGGGGGGAGCTGGTCCTCAGAAAATAGCGGTGGCTAAATCAGCTGTGGGAGAGATGTGGAAGGGTTGTGTAGGTTGTTCTGGGAATAGGAGGTGTATCAACTGAGCAGTTTAATTGATGTCTCTCCAATCAAATGATTAAGAGCTCTGGTGTGGAGTCAGGAAGACCTCAAATCCTGGCAGAGCAGTCAATGTGTGAATGGGAGGGTTCATTATGCTGGTCAAAATCGCAGCTTTCCTTTTGAGGAGGTGAAATTGAAATAGGGCTATCTCATATGGTCTGAGAAATGATAAAGCGAATCCCTGGTGCATGGAAACCACTTCAAAAGGCTGGTTTATGATTATGCCTACTAAGGTAGGAAACGGAGGTGTAAACATTTGGAAAACGCGGCCACCTACAAGGTGATAGAAAACAGGTGCATCGTCATTAGAACTACTTATAATAGCTGCGGCAGAGGGAGACAACTTTGCATGAGTCTGGCTCGGCTTGTAACGTGTTGGTAGGTACAATGGGATCCTATGTTTTGGGATATCTGTGACACAGTTTAGAATATCCTTGGAGCAATGGATCCGATCTGCGGCAGAGAGGGCAAGCTGAGGCCTTGGCTAATCTGATCCCACTGTGCAGATCATTGGTCTCCTGTCACAGGGCAGAGGCAGCCAGGAAAAACAGGGTAAGTGGAAGAACAGAGCGATCCATGTACCTTTCAAGCTGACTAATAATACAAACGAATTAAAATAGCAAGAGAACCCACACAAAAAGCTTTCTACTCTGACTCTTACTCCAGTGAAGTTCCTGTTTTGTGGTTCCGGCTGCCCGACCGCAAGCTGAAAATGACTCCCAGCATTCTGCCATGGTTAAAAGCTATAGAAAGTGAAACGGTTAAACATACCGGAAATCTAAGGTGCAAGTCCTCCTCCTCTGCCCCGCTTCTTTAGGTTGCTTTGTTGTTTCATCTCTGCCTTTTAATGGTCCAGACATATTTTCACCTGGAGAATGATATTGTTGCTTTGACCAGCTGCATTGCTGCATAACCACAGCGGCACTTAGAATAGCAGCTGGACTCATATGTGGCTGATACATTTTTAATGTACTGTCACTATATTGAAATTCTTAATTTAAACGAGTTTTGTACCAACTCTCACATTATGGGCAGAGTTCAATGTCATAACTGCTTTTTTAAGAAAATGAAGTCTTTAATTTATAATAGGCAGCCCTTTCTCTCTCTCTCTCTCTCTCTCTCTCTCTCTCTCTCTGTCTCTCTCTCTGTGGCTTCATAATTTATAACTGCAGCAAGATATTTGACCTCTTAAGAAACAGCCCTATCATGAAACTACACAAGTCTATGGAGATTAAAGAAGACATTGTTGAATAATCAATGGATCACAGAAGAAATTAGGGAATTAAAGAATATTCCTGGAATCAAATGAAAATAGAAGCACAACATAGCAAAACCTATGGGATGCAATGAAAGCAGTTCTAAGAGGGAAATACATTTATAGCTGTAAATGCATACATAAAACAAAAATAGTGGCTCCAAATAGCCCAATGATGAATCTCAAGGTCTTAGAAAGACAAGAGCATCCAAACCTGAAACTAACAAGAAGGAACAAATTATAAAGATCAGAGCAGAAATTACTAAGATTGAGACAAAAATATATACAAAAGATCAGTGAATCAGAGATGTCTCTTTGAAAGGATGGGAAGAACCAGGAAGTAGGGGAGAGAATGGGGAGTAAAAAGGATGGGCGCTGCGTGTACCAATTCTACGTGATGAATGCATTTACTACACATAGCAAACATGAACTAATAAAAATTGCCAGGAACAAAGAAACAGGCCCGGTGTCAGTGTGACAATCAAAGTGAAGATTTCCCACTTTCAGATACAATTGCTTTTACATCTTAGGCAATGGATGCTTGGTTCCATGGCAATCCTATAACACTACCTGTTCTTTCATATTTTAAAGGCAGTTGTGTCTTCTGCTATCCCCATGAGCTCCTTTGCTATCACCTCTCCATTCCCTATCACTCAGAAACACTGCCATGGAATTATCTCAGCAATGTCACTGTGCCTGGTTCTATGAGCTAAGAGAGCCATTTAAAAGGGGCAATTTAGGGGTTAGAGAACTATTCTCTAAGGAAGAGAACACTTTATCTGCAAATGTATGGAAGTTCTGGCTCTGCTCAAAGGAAATCACAACAGGCCTCCTGGGGTCACACTTCTACAGTGCAGTGTATGTACCATGCAGTTTATGCAGCACAGCTCCCAGTGGAGTCAAGACTGCTCTGTTGAGTACTATTCCTTAATTAAATGCCCCCAAAGTTTGTGTACTTTGCTAGCATTTTCTTCTTCACTAGTGCTTATCATTTCTGGACCTGTAAAAAAAAAGTAGAAAAACATTTGGAACATAAACGTGCAGAGCTAGATGTATAAGCAGGTGAAATGAATGCAATAGTTAAGGCAAATTCTGTTCTATTGTCTAAGAGGCAGATGTGTAGCATGTACCATAAGGAAATGTGTACATGGTATTTGTTTGTTATATGGTATTGAAAAAAATGCTGGTCCTTTTATTGTGCAAACAGTCTTTGTTATTCCATTTACACAGTGTTTATTGTCTGTTGTTTAATTTTTGTACTCTCCTTTTAATGGTAGCAGGTGTGGAGATTACATTTGTGCCCCCTCCAGACCTGGCTCTGTTAATTGCTAGCTTAATGTTTTTCTCCAAGTTTTCCTTTTCTTTCACAAGGCAGTGGCCCTCAAAGAAAAATAAGTCCTCTAATTACCCAGAAAGAAGCCTTGCCGTAGCATCTTTCTTTGGAAACCAAGCCAGCATTAATTCTCTTAATAATTCTAGGTAACAAGTTCAAATGTGTAAACCAGTACTTAACACAAGATGACTTGTTCAACTCACAGGTAGGAAGTAACTCAGAGTTAGACTATTATATTACACTGCAGGAGAACTTTATGGTCCAGATGAACATCTTATAGGTTGCTTTAAAAAGATTAAAACTATTAAAAACACAGATTTGTCTTAAAGGATTTAACCCCTCAATCATCAGAAGCAAATTTACTGCTTCAGGCCAAGATTAGCCTTGCCCAACAGGACTCTCTAAGCACCTACATTTTTATGTCTGATGACCAGAGCTCTCTCCAGTCAGCTAACTGCTTATATCTTCCCCCAGACCAAGAGACAGTTCCATACTACAGGATGCAGAACTGCTGTGGCTACAGTTGTATTTTAGTATATGTGCTGCCAAAGCAACAGGACATTTGCATTTTAGTGAATGTTGGCAATGGTAATAGTGAAGAACTCATGAAGAATCAACCTTGGGAAATTTGTTGTGGAATTTGCATGAGGATTCTTGTCCAGGGTCATTGTTCTTAAAATTGTAGTACCTGTTTTAAGATGATCCAAAATAAAAGATTGTCACTTGGAAAAAGAAATTTTAGGTTTTCGAATATCAACTGGTTTGCTCTTCTGTAAATAACACAACTGAATTTGTGTTTTTCTTCACTTGTACCACTAGAATGCTCAGACTGGCCCACTTCTGTTGAGTATTTTGAAATGCTTGCTTGTACATTATATATTGGATATATATTTATCTACCTTTATTTTCCAAAATCCAGAAGTCAAAACCAGGGCAATTTTCAGAATAGGATTATTAAGGTAATAGTTCCCCATGCAACAAGCAATATATGCCCTGATATATTCACTCACAAAGCTAATTCATGCTCAGCACCCACATCCAAAACCACAGACCAGGATTCCTACACAGGTCAAGTTGGTGAAATAAATGCTTACAAAAGCATTTATTTACAAAGAGCCAAAGACATGCCCATCTGAACACATTCACATGCACATGTTGTTAAAGCTACACTGTGGCCAGACACTGGGTAACTAATTTGTGGCCTCTGACCAACAAGGCCCTGAGCTGTATTACCAGTGCTATGGACATAAGACAAATCCTACATGATGATTTCTGCCCATCTATGGCCTATAGTATGTTGATGTTGTTTTTGTTTGAGACAGAATCTCACTATGTGATCCAGGTTGGCCTTACGCTTCTGCATCCTCCTCCCTGAGCCTCCTGAGTGTCAGGGATTATAGGGGTGCACTGCCACACCCCACTTGGCCTACAGTTTGGAGAGGAAGAATGTATATAAACAAATAAGCACAAGGAGAGTCAGAGAAAAGTATCTCTGAAGTGAGCTCTAGCAAAGTCCAACAAGTCAGGGTACACGGTCAAGGGGAGAAGACCAGGTTGCATATATACAAGGGACTTAGCAGGACCTGAGGACTTCATGGGCGAAG